TTTTTATCTTAAAATGGTTGAAAACTTGTGTTGCCTTCCAAAATTAAGAATAAGAATAATCATTTTAGGAAATGTTCTTATCTTTAAATGATTGTAAACTTGTGTTGCCCTCCAAAATTAAGAGTAAGAATAATCATCTTACAAAATTTTTTATATTCTTATCTTAAAATGATTGCAAACTTGTATTGTCTTTCAAAATTAAGAGCAAGAATAATCATCATAATCAACTTTTTATAGTCATCATTTATCATTTCTAGTTCAAACCATGAGGCAACTAGCAGCCTTTACCATCATTCCAAACATTTACACAGTGAACACACAAATATGAATGTCTTATGTGTGGGTGTGTAACAAATGTAAAAGCATTCATGGTCTAATAAGACTGTTGATATATATATATAAAAAGTGAGAGTCCAACTCCTACAAGCTCATAAATACCTTCGTGGTCTAATAAGACAAGGGTTTATTTTTTGTTCGTAGGTCTCAAACATCACGAATAAAATCCATTTGTGCTTTCATTTCATGACTCGAAGATATTTAAATTATATAGGCAAAGATCAATCGATATCCATATAACAGTTGGAATGTAAACACTAAATATGTAAGTATGACTTAAGTAATCTCTATATGAAGCTCCAACAGCATTCACCTATTCAACATTCATGCTTCAATGCATATTTGTCACTTTACTCTTGTGTTTTAAGCAAAAGAAATTTTATCAGTCTACAAAGCTTCAAGACCACATGTAGCAAGAACCAGCCTTGAACAAACTATCAAATTCTTACATCCAATTACTTAACATGAGTATCCAGTTAGAAGAACTAAAGATTTTCTGAGCAGATGACATGAAGTAATTCCAAGAACTCAGCGCACCTATCTTTAAAACAACGCAAAGTGGGATAAATAAAGTAGGGAAACATTCGAATTTAAAAATTTCGGCAATGAAAGTTTAGTCTGCTTGAATAAAAGCCTATAGCAAGCATAAAAGTTCCCACAAAACATCTTCAGCCTCCATGAATAAAAGCATATTACAAGCATAAAGTTCAACAATACAAGTTCAGACATTTTCCACTCCAAAAAATAAATGCATCTGCAAATGGTCCAGCTCAAGTATAATTCCATCAATAAAGCATAAAAACTGTTATAACAATTTATGATACTACTACAAATTCATCATCAATCATTTTCTTCAATTGACCTAGCCAGAAAATATATACAAATACAAACGTAGTCAATTCAGCAGGTCACTAGGCTAATTTTTCAAAAGTGAAAAATGAAAGGAGGCAATTATTGGTTTATCACCCAGTCTTTATTATTTATAAAACCAACCCCCAAGCATTTCTATTTACAATAACACATTTTCATTCTGAGAAAGTGTGGTTTTACACATTTAGATATAAAGATCAAGTTTCACAAAGAAGCATGCTCTAAACACTCTCTTATATCAGATCTCATCCATAAAAAAAATACATATATAAATGCAATATAGGAGATTTCGCTGCCAAAACTCTACAAAGCTAGGTTTCATTAAAAAAATCTACATAAATATAAAATAAATTTAAGGAAATTTAAGATAAGAGGCGAACCCGAAAATAAATAGGAAACATTAGAGAAAATATACTCAGAGATAACACCTAGGTAACCAAACAAGCAAACAATGAACGAAGCAATAATATTGGCAATCCACGCAAGAACACCGAGCAATCGAGCCAACACTGACTATCAGAGGAGAATAGAAGTAGATATTAGTAGAAGAACAGGGACGACAAACCCTAAGTGGTCGGGAGAGAAGACGAGAAGAGTAGAACCCTAAACGGGAGAGGCAGCCGAACCTGAGAAGTTTCGAGAAGCGAATGGAGATTAAGGGTCCGTTTGGGGCAGCTTGTGCGTTTCAGGATAAGCTGCTTATCCTGAAACGCGGCCCGCGGGGCCGCCGCCGGGGGT